ATACTTACCCAAGCCTGTGTTCAGTTACTCAATGAAAGCAATGCACAACCAGCAATTTAAAATTGTTGTTCTCAGGTGAGCTGCCATTGGGAGGTTTACGAAATGAAAGATTTTAACTCAGAACACAAAGGCAAAATCCGCAGGGTTTAACATAAAACAATATGGTAAATCCACAACAGCTTCTGTGGTTAGACATTCACCAATATTTTGTGCAATTTGATTGCAGAATTAGGAATTGTTCTGGGATAGAGAAGAACACAAAAACCTCATGGCATCCATGTGCTGATTGCCCCAAAGATGGGAAAGCCCTGCACAGGCCCTGGATGCTTAGTTACCAATTAACTGCAATAATAATAGAGGTGTTTAGATAACTTATCAACTGTGGTAATACAGCCCCTACATCCTGAATTCTAAGAGAGGGAGGGAAAAAACCCGAGCCAGTCTTCAGTTTGTGAACAAAAGAATAATATCCTAACATTCCTGGGCAGAAGTTTTCCAAAAATAAAACCTGAAGTGACTGATGCAACGAGTCACATGTGAGGGAGGTAGATCTGGTGACTCAAAGGCCTGACTTGGGTCACTGAGGGGAAATGAGGAACAAAGTTGAGACATCAGCTGGAACAGGAATTCTAGATCAGCAAAGTGGCTTTCACAAACCACACCCAGCAGGAGGAACTCCACAACCCAGGGATTTGATGGACTAAATCACCTTCTATCCTGGGCTCACCAAAGGGCTTCTGACACTTCCTCAACTGCACCTGCAGATCCCCGTGCTGTCACATTCCCAGCGAGGAACCGACCTTCCCCAGCATCCCGTGAGCCAGAATGGGAACATCCACTGGCATATTCCCACTCTGAAAGCACCACCATGGCCCAAGAGGGAGTCAACCCCCTGCACTGGCTCAAGGAGATGACCCTCAGAGGTTTTTGGGGTTTTTCCCCCACAGGAGCCTGTTAGGAAGAACTCTGCCAGCAGGTCAAGGGAGGTGATTGTTCCCCTCTGCTCACACACCTGGAGGGATGTGTCCAGTTCTGGGCTCCAAAGTGCAAGGCACCCATGGATCTACTGGAAAAAATCCAGAGAAGGGCTGTGAGAATTAAGGGGTGATTCTTTTGTACAATGAGAGGCTGAAGGGGGTGGAATTGTTTTGCTCTGTTTGGAAAACAGAGGCCAGGAAGGATCCTACGATGTCTAAATACCGGATGGGAGGGAGTAAAGACAACTGAGCCAAACTCCTCTTGGTGGTGCCCAGGAAAAGGACAAGAGGAATGGGAACAACTTAAAATACAGGAATTTCAGTTTATAAACATAAGAAAAAAACCTTTTTTATTGCAAGGGTGATCAAACTCTGGAAGAGGCTGCCCAGAGAGGTTGTGGAGCCTCCACCCCTGGAAGTACTCAAATCCTAACTGGACCAGGTCCTGGTCCACCTGCTCTGGGGTCAGACACGATCATCTCCAGAGGTCCCTTCCAACCTCAACCATTCTGTGTAAAAATCACAATCCTACCCTGTCTCATAGACCCTTCAACCCAGGGCTGCTGGCACTGACAGAGGACTCCAACACAGAATATCAAGATTTAATTATTGTTCTCAGAAATGACCGATTTTAAAACGATGCAGAAGTAAAGAAATAATTGAGGGACGACTCCACTGATGAGCTACAAAATAAGAAAATACTTGCACAAAGAAGTGAGTGAAATCAAAACCCTCAGACTCAAAATACTTCACGTGCAAGGTTTCATCTCAGAGAGGAAAAAGCCGAACAAGTTAAGTGTTATCTTTATCTCCCAAGTTAATTGGAGTAATGCAATGGGAAACCTGACACTGCTTCTAAAGCTACAGCATGACTAGAGCCTGAGGAGAACTTAAGTCCCACAGGAATTTATATTACAGGGTAAACACCCCAGAGAGTAAAGAGCAGGTGATCTTCAGCCTGGGCCAAGAGCTGCTGAGATGTTCAGGGCTGTGCTCCTGCCTCGGGTGGATTTCAAAGGATACATGTGGACACAGAACAGCCCACAGACCGTGGACTTTGCCTCTGAGTGCCTAGGGAATAATCCCCCCTTAAGTAAGGCTTTCCTGTTGTTCTAATGGAGCTTAGAGCAACTGGCCCAAACAGTTGCATTGGAGGCTTAGGGCTGTGTATCTTAACTAAGGGCCTTGCAAGGAAGTGAGAAGAGAGGATTAAGGAGATCATTTCATGTCCCAACAAAGTCGCCTGCAAGTTTTTTACCGCTTGCAAACCACACAAACAAACAGGTAACACTTGAAATAAAGAACTTTGTTGCTTGAAGGAAAGCACGTACCTACCAAGAAACAAACAGCGTATGTATTCCACACCAAAAGGTGCATTTTATGCTATATTCGAAGACTATAAAGAAACTTAAACTGCTGTATAAACAAAAGGAAAGAAATGCCAGTAATAAAAACTATAAAGATCAACTCTAGTTTTTGTATTGTAATGATTCCAGGCAGAGCATTAGTTAAGGACCATTGTCTAGAACTGTGATCAACCCCTGCATAAACTGGCTCAGGATATGGTATTGAAAACTGTTTAAATTCAGCCTACCTCCCACAGAATATTAAAAAAAAATTACTAGAAAACTGACTATTTCCAGAGATTGAATGAGGCAGCAGAGAAAAGCACAGAACTGATCTTCGCAGAACAGGAAAACAAAACTTGCCGTATTTTTTTTTTTCCTCCCAGTGCTTCGGAAAAGGTGGAAGAAACTTTAAAAACCTGACTTAGCTATTGTAGACAGAAGCAGCGAGCCGACCCACAAGGCCTTGGCACAAGGAGGGGACAAGACTCTCAACCTGGATCGGTTTTACCAGGGCACTGAAATAGTCACCGCCTGCAACGCCAAGGGGGGCAAGAGCAGAGTCACAGCAAATTGTGTTTCTCCTGAAAAGCAGAGAGCAAAGCAAACAGGAGGTTGGAGGAAAGAAAATTGATCTTTTGCACCTCATCCAAGGCACAGCCAGAGGTGTCTCTCGTTAGGGAGAGAAAGAGCAGAATACAGACTCGTTAGAATTAAAAATATACATGTTCGAGAGGGGAACAAAGCGAAACAAAGCTGATTTCGGCCGGCGCCGTTTGACTTCGGAGGTTAATTCGGCGCTGAGACGAAGCGCTGGTCAGCAGGTGGCACCTAAAATTAGGCTGCGGGAGGAAGGTTTAAAGGGAGCCCCGCTGCGAGCCACGGGCACAGGGGCCGGGGAGGGAGAGAGCAGCATCCCGGGAATGTGGGAGCACCGTCCGGGGGCCGCGGAGCCCTGAGGAGCGGCGCAGGGCGGGAAGGGTTCCCTCCCCTCGCCCTCCATCCCCCTCACTCACCGCCGCGGTGCGAGATGTGCCGGCAGCGAAAGCGCTGCCGCTTGGGCCGGTGGAGCAGCCCCGGGCACTTGAGGAGGAGCGCGGAGGTGAGGACGTATCCGCCCAGCGTGGAGAGCACGTAGAGCGTGGCCGACATCCTGCGGCTCTGGTCGGTTGCCCCCCGTCCGTGTCCCGGTCGCCGCCCGGCGCCGCTGCGGGACCCGCAGGCTCTGAGGGAGCGGGAGCCGCTGAGGGAGCGGAGCCTCTGCGCCCGCGCAGCGGGGACAGCGGAGAGCGCAGGCGCGGTGCGCGCCGGGCCGTGAGGCGGGAGCGCTCCCCTCAGCCGCCGGCGGCTCTTATCAGAAACCGCTTCGCCAAGCGCCGCCGGCAATTCTTGTTTAAATTAGATTAACGCGCTTTAATTTCCCCGTCTCGCCGTTCCCGGCGGTGCCCTCCCGCTGGGCAGGCGGAGGGATGTGTTTTTTCCACGCCCAGAGCCCGCCTGGCGGGCCCGGATCGTCGCTGTCAAAAAAACCTCCACTTTGCAAATGGTGTGGGCAGTTCTCAGTTACACGCTTCGATTTCCCACCTCGCTGCCGCTGCTCCCTCCTCGCAGGCGGAGGGATGTGATTTCCCCACCCAGCCCCTCAGAGATGTCGTATTCCAAACAGGAGGGGTGCATTTTCCCCACCCAGCCCCTCAGAGATCATAGAACGGTTTATGTGGGAAGGGATCTCTGAACATCATCTAGTCCAACCCCTAACGTATTCCCAACGGGAGGGATGCATTTCCCACGCCCAGCCCCTCAGAGATGTTTTATTCCAAACAGGAGGGATGTGTTTTTCCCCACCCCAGTCTCTCAGAGATGTCATATTCCAGACAGGAGGGGTGCACTTTCCCCACCCAGCCCCTCAGAAATCACGGAATCATAGAACGGTTTGGGTTGGAAGGAACCTTCACAGATCATCCAGCCCAACCCCTAATGTATTCTGAACGGGAGGGATGGGTTTTCCCAACCCAGCCCCTCAGAGTTGTCCTATTCAGAATGCGAAGGATACGATTCCCTCACCCAGCCCCTCAGAGATCATGGAATCATAGTATGGTTTGGGTAGGAAGGGATCTCTAAACATCATCTAGTTCAACCCCTAATGTCACAGTCCTAATGGGAAGGATGCATTTCCCACACCCAGCCCCTCAAATATGTCATATTCTGAGTGGGAGGGATGCATTTTCCCCACCCAACCCCTCAGAGATGCCATATTCCAAACAAAGGGATGCATTTTCCATACTCGACTCCTCAGAGTTTTCATACTCCGAAGGGGAGGGATGCATTTCCCACACCCAGCCCCTCAGAGATGTCATCTTCCAAGCAGAAACCAGGTCTCGAATCCGGTCATGCAGTATAATTATTGTACTATAGCAAACTGGCAAATTAAATTTTGTGCACATGCTAATTAGAAACAAATATTCTAGAAATTAAATTAGGTCTCAACACACAGGCGCTGTCGCTAGTACATCTTACCTCGGCAAAAGTTACAAGCTGATTTACTGTGGCTAATTTTTTGGCACCAACAGCCACAGTGATGTTCACAGGATTTAAGTTACCCTTCAATACATCATGTAGTGTTCTACAATTAACCAAACTCCCTCAATTTGAGGTTCAAACTGGACCAAACCCATCCTTTTAGCAACCAAAAGTCTGTTTAATCACTACAAGTCAGGCTATAGAGACGATTAAGCTGCAGTTTTTTATAGAGATCCAGCTTATTTACCTCTGCATTTTCCAAAAATTTACAAGCAGGTTCAGTTTCCAAAGAGATCTGTTAATCCAAAATATGAAATTAAGTTGGCCTTTTAACAAAATCTAATTGATGAATACAAATAGTGCAAGATATTTCAACTTGATATAGGTAAGTGGTTTCTGGCTGTTAGTACACATCAGAACTGCAGTACCTTTTTTTAAAGACAAATTATTTCTCCCATTATCACATTAAAAGCATCTATTGCCTGCATACAAATAGCTTGTTTAGAAGAAGAGAAAAATTCTGCTCATCATTGACTCAATATGACAGAGGAAGCTCTTGATTTCAGGCAATGCTAATTTTTAAACATCCCTAAGTATTTAGGATGGGGAAAAGCACTGTCATCAAAACATCTAGCAATACAGGATCAGTACTTTATGAAAACCAGCATTTATTTTTTACATATGAAAACTTAATAAATGGAAAATTTACACGTCTCGGATTCCTTTTTCTGCTTTGCTATCAGACTTTATTTTCAGTCTGTGTTCCAGTGAGATACAGTGGGGCTTCACACGATCGCAGTGACACCTCTTGGGCAGCACGAACCAAAATCCAGGAATTGGATTGAAGATGGTCTTTTTAACCTAAACCAAATCTACCAGGACAACTCTTATTGTGTAACTGCTTTCAGTATTCCCCGGAGAACTTTGTAGCTCATTAACTGTTGGCTTTCTTTGGGAGGAAAGCAGGGTCCACGTTCCGTCACGTAGGCGTAAGGAAACCTGAGCACCCACAGTCCATCAGAGGGAAGGGTAATTTCCTGCTTCTCAGGGTAAAATATAGGACAGGGTGGTGGCCCTGGCTGAACCTAAAATCAAAAGGAAACGTGAGTAGATAATCAAACATCATTACTACCTTAAAACAGTAAAAAAGTGCAAATGGAGTTTTTCTCCATGTTTTAAATACGCATTTGAAAATGGTGACAAAATCTCCAGTTAAAAAAAAACCCCAACACTTTTTCACCTCCCGAATTCAAACTGTCACTAATAATAATTAATCTCAGCCATGAGTCACTGCTTTTTCTCCATGACATTTAAAATGATAAATTCATCCTTACACAGCCATTACTCACTTGTTATCTTCTTTTTTTAAAAAAAGGCATCATTACAGTAGGGAATGCCAACAACTCATCTTTGATAAAACACTTTGTTTAAACTTACTTCATGCAAAATATAAAGCTGGCATAAGCCAACCTTGAACTTTAAAAACTTAAGTTTAAAACAGATAATTTTGGTCTTTTCTGCCTTAGAGAACTTGGCTGAAGTTGGTTTGAGTCGGAGTTTCTTGACACCGTTTCCCTGTCACCCTCACGCCTTCCAGTCCTGCATCAATGCTGCCACAGCCACCCTGCCTCTGCTGTTCCCAGATTCCCTCTTCCATGCTTACCTGAGGCGTTAACGTGATCTGCAGCGGAGCATCAGGAACCACCACAAAGAGCCTCATGAACTGGGCGTAGTGTGGTTTGAGGCCTCGCCCCTGGGTGGAGGACAGGATGTACAGCGGCATGTCGGAATTGAGGGCTTTGATGGCAGATTCCTTTGGCCCCCCTCCCATCACCTTCATGACTTTATCGGGCCCCGAACACATGAACCTCCTCCCACGGGCATCTTCGTACTCAAACCCCACGAAAGCTCGGGCGATGTCGTCTCTCCGCCTCCCTCTTCCCATCACAACCGCGCTCCTTTTTCCAGGAACAGCCTTGTTGGGTGCAGGCCAGGAATTGGTATCCAAGTCTCCTTCGTCTTCGGTTCTCGTCCTGATGACGATGTCCCAAGGCATTAAATAGTTTGTTCCCGGGATAAAGCCTTGTTGATCTAAGCCAGTGTGGAAGTTATAAGCCTTAGCAGGCCCCAGCTTAACCAGTGACCAGCTGGAGAACTTGGGCAGGAGGCCTTTGGGGCAGTTGGAATGGAGCATCCCGGGGAGGTACTCGACAGTGGACGCCTGGCGATCCACCAGGCTCGGCCTCTTCTCACTTTTGGAGTCCCCGCTCTGGCCGTGACTCTCTGCATTGTCCCCTCCACCCTGGGCATCGGGGGGGTAAGTGCCCAGGCTGCCCGTGGACTGGCCCAGGCTGAGGGCTAAGCTCAGGCCTGTGCTCTCTCCCTGAGTCTGAGGTTCCTTCTCTTTAAGTTTCTCAATCTCGCCCTCTGGAGGGGCAGGCGAGGACTCATCCCGAGCAGGCGCCGGATCAGGTGTGCTCGGCTGAAATATGGGAAAGTTGATGTGCTCCAGTTTCCCACAGCACTTTTCTTCCAGTAGCTACGAGAAAGAAAATGTGGTTAACATTTTCTCATCCCTGAGATCAGCCACAACATTCAGCAGCTACAAATAAGATTCAAGAGGTTTGAGCTATGTGAGAACCAAAACAGAGCTGATTATTTAAAATCCACATGAACCAACCCACTCAAAGTGTAAATAGGTGTGCAAACAGGTGCTCCTGTGTGTGTGCACTGGTGAGGACTGGAACTGCCCACTCTGCTCAGACAATTTCTGCTCCCAGAAACATCTTCCCCAAGCAACAAGGTGAAAAGGTTAAGAGGAAACTCGTGGTCTCTTCAGAATACAGACTCTGCTGATGAAACAAAAGCAACAACAGACCTACAGTTACCTGGTAAAAGTCATAATTAGCTGCTTTGATATCAAAGGGGTCCTCCCGAGGAGCTTGTTTCCTTCCACAGTTACAGGCCCCAGTGGAGCGAGCCCGGCTGTTGTGGTACAGGATGGGAGGATTTCTGTCTGCTTCTGGCTTTTCCCCTAAAAGCAAAAAATCAATCAAACTCTGGGTAAATTGCTCACCATTTCTACAGATTAATTCCCTTCACCCTCTGCTTCCTCCTGGTTAATGCACACACACAAAATGATTTGCCAGCAGTTTGTCAAGCAATTCCTCCCTTTCCCCCTTTAACACAAAGTTCCAGTGGAGGTTATACCACTAAACTGAATCTTGTTTTTACAACTTCTTCCTAAAAGGCTCAAAGTTCTTCTGCCTGCAATAAACACACATCAGACAGTTTGACTTCTTGATTGCCATCAACCAAGTTATTTAAAACAAACGGGGGCACTTATTGCTTCCTAGAGAAAGTTTGTTCTCTTACACACCTCTTATTAGAAGGACTTGAGTGTGATGCTTCTAATTAGCAAGACAAAATCAGAGTGACCACTAAAATTAGAGTTACTAAAACTAGAGTGACTACTAATTTAGAGTTGCTAAAATTAGTTACTACTAAAATCAAAGTTACCACTGACAGTGGACTGTATGGCTCCCAAACGTCATTAATTTCCTAATGTTTGGCTCCCAAGCATTATTCAACATAAGGGAAACCTACACAACAGCTCTGCTATAATCCCACTGTACAAAGATGATCACGGAATCACTGAGGTTGGAAAAGACCTCTGAGATCACTAAGTCCAACCTTTGTCCCATCACCACCTTGCAACTAGACCAGAGCACTCAGTGCCACATGCAAGCTACAAACTTTCACCTTCCTTAAGGTGCCAGAGTCGGTGTTTCAGCCTTTTTAAAGCAGATACAGAACTAAACCACGAAACCCAACCACAAGTGAGCATCTCTACCTGCTTTTGGGAGCAGATGGAACTTGTGCACGCAGTGCTGGTCCGTCAGGCTCCGCTCCTCGCAGAGCTGGTGCCCGTTGCTCCAGAACTTGTAGCAGTCCTCGTTGAGCTGCATGGCGTACTTGTGGAAGGCCGGGCCCCGGGCGTGCTGGCTGTACACCCGCAGAGCCTGGGCCAGCTGGTTCTTGTGCACCGTCATGGTGTAATTGTGGGGCAGGTTGGACTGGTAGGCGCTGTGGGCCATGGGCAGAGCCTTCTGGCAACGGTTTTCTGAGAACTTGGTGTCTATGTCTAAATAGCCTTCCAAGACTTTGATGCTGCTCATGATCTTGGAGCTCAGCTCCCCAGAGGTGGGGTCGTCGTCTTTGCCCTCGATGGTCACCTCGTACAGTTTCAAAGCTGCAGCGACCCACTTCTGGTAGGTTGGGAGCTCGAAGTGGGAGGGCTGCGGGTTCCTCCCCACGCTGTCATCGAAGCCCTTCTTGCTGAGCACCAGCTCCACGTGCTGCCACAAGAACTCCTTGAGGGTGCAGTCCACGAGCTGCCCAGAGGAGCTGGAGCTGGAGCTGCTGCTCTCTGCGTGGAAGGAGAGCTGCTGCCGGCCGTGCCGCATCATCTGGTACCTCCTGGGCCCCGACAGCGTGGGAGTCAGCAGCGAGTCGGTCTCCCTCATGGTGCAGTTGCTCCTGAGCTGGTCGAGAAGCATGGCCACCGGGTCATCTCCATCCTGGGGCCCCCCAGCCACGATGTACACGAAAGCCTGGTTGGCAGGCACGGTGAACAGGCAGTTGATGCTCTGGTTGGTGAGCACCCTGCTCTTGCGGAAGATGCGGTAGATCTGATCCTCCAGAGCGTGCTGCAGCCTCCTCTTGGGGGAGTGCTTCTTGGGGGGTGGCTTTTCCAGGTGACTGCAGGGGTCCTGGCCCCTGCTGGGGAGGGGATCCACCTTCAGAGCCCCGTTGAGCTGGAAGAGGAAGAGGAGGCGCGGAGGGCACGGCCTGCAGTTGAGCTTCCACTCCTTGCCCACCGGGCAGTCCTTGATGGCAGCCTTGAGGGAGGGCAGCACCTTCTGCCGCAGCCCGTCCAGCGCCCTGAACACGCGGTCGTAGGTGATGTCGAAGGAGCAGGTGGGATGCACCAGCAGCAGGATGTGGCACACGGAGAACAGGTAGAGGAGGCTCAGGCAGTGCAGCTTCTCCTGGTGCTTCCAGAACTCGTGGGCCTCGGCGTGGGGCAGCGGGGCCGGGCCTCCCGAGGGGTGTCCGGGCCCAGCCTCCCTGTTCTCGGCCGCGGTGAGGTCCCCGCAGGCGCGGAGCAGCTGCGGCGTGTCGCAGATGGAGGTGAGCACCAGGTACAGCACGCGGCTCTCCTGGCTGTAGTACGCCTGCAGCTGGTTGTAGTCCTTGCTCGCCGGGTCACCCTCGGACCCCGCCGCGCCGTCCGCCGGCTCGGGATCCTCCTCGGGGAACAGCGGGAAGACCTGCCGGTCGCACACGGTGCTCACCAGGGCCTCCTTCTCGGAGCAGAGCTGCAGCGCCGTCTTGCCGAAGATGCCCACCACGCACACCTCCTCCTCGCCGCCCGCCGCGCCGCCCGCCTCGGCCGCCAGCAGCAGGTCCCGCAGGCTCATGGGCCCCACGGCCGAGCCCATGGCCCCGGGGGGGGCACCGCCCGGCAGCGGCATCCCCCGGACCCAGCCCCACTCCCACTCCCGCTGCCGCTCCCGCCCGGAAGCGGCGGAGCCCCGGCCCCGCTCCCGGCCCCGCGCATGGGCGGCCCCGCCCCGGGGATGCGGTTCGGGGAGGGAACGGCTGAGAACGGGGTGGAGACAGCGGGAGAGGGGGACGCGGAGGATTGGACAGCACATCGTCCACCCTGGACAGCTCTGGTCCCCAGCGAGCGCGGGGCGGGATGCGGGGTGCGCTCCCCCAGACCGGGATGCAGGGACGGCGGGACTCGCATTCCATCGCCAGCCCGTGTCCTGACCTGGGTCACAGTACAGGCACATCTCCCCACCCCCCCAGCTCTTAAACTTGACTTTGAAGGAGTCTTTGAGTTACTTTGCCTTTAATCAGTTCAGCCTTTACCAGTGATCTGACCCCAGCCAGAAGCAATACACAGTGCAATTGCCTTGTATATTTGTAGCCACAGAACCAAGCTGGTTTGTTGACTCCTGCAGCTTTTCCATTTAATAATGTTAGTGCATTAAACTGTTGCTTTTCTTTGAAGCTGTACAGTTACCGTGTAGTTAGTTTTTGTTTTTTAAAAAAAAATATATATATAAAAGATGTATAAACAATACTGAATTTCAGCAAACACATAGGTATTTGTATGACAAGCAGCACCAGTGTTGGGAGCATAATAGTCCCTGCTTCAGCAGCAGCCAGTGGTCAAAGGACTTGGGAAATTTCATGCTTTGTTTCCATTAAGAATTGAGACATTATAGAAACTAAGACATTATGAAATATAAAAAGTAAAATCTGCTTAACAGGGTTTCCATAATATCCTGTTCTCGTGTGCACTTACAAATACATGTGCCTGAGCATGATAAAAATGGGATTCAAAAGGGAAATCCAATTCAAATCCCGACAACAAATGAAAAATACATTGTTCCATAAACCTACTTTCCTTTTTACTTTTCATCAAAGCTGTTTGCAGCACTTAACCGGGCAGGGGAGGGACTCTTCGGATGAGCCATCTGTCAAAAGAAGGGAAGGGTCAGAACTTGGATATCTGAACTAATTGTGACTCAGATAAAACAGTGCAATTCTCAGCTGACACCATAAAACAACCAGAGCAAGTCATTAAAATAAAAGACATTATTAACCCTCAGATTTTGTTCTTCTGCAAAGTGGAACTATGAATTTCAAAGTCGTATGGACTGCACTGTAGGGAAAAATCAGTAGGAAATTCTCTGGATTTTAAAGCCAATTTATTGTTCCAAAAGAGAGAGAGTGACTTGCCTGGAATTTGCGTCGCAGTGCCTGTGTCATTATTGGTGTCAACCCAGAGCCACATTCAATGTTTTCTTTATTATTTAGAGGAGTGCCACCAGGACTTCTGGAAAGATTGGACACAAGGGGAATTATTATTAGTTCTCTATTTTTGTCTAGATTAAAAAAAAAAAAAAAAAGAATCCAGAGAACAGGAAGGAACTTGCCTTTGTATATTGACTTTCTTCAGATGTTTCCGAAGATCAATCTGATTTTTAGGGGGAGTACTAACAGAACGAAACAAATAAAATATTTTCCACTCTGTAAACCATGTTAATCACTGTTTTAAGCAGAAAAATCTAATATCAAAGAAAGGAAGAAAGGATCTTACATTAAGGAATTTGTGACGTGAGCTGATGGCTTGGATTTAGGTCTCAAACTAATACTCTGTAGATCTGAGACTGTAATTAATGCCCTGCGTGGCTTCCCTGGTGATTCTGCCTAAAGCAAGGAAAGAAATGTTACCACAAATAAAACTAACTTCAAATCTATTCAATACTTATACTCTGAAAGACTTTTGTGGTTTATGGCTTTTATGCTTTTTTTGAATTATTAAGATTTGAACGTGTCTTGGATAAAAACAGATCTATTAAAAACAAAAAACCCCCCAAACACTTTTGCAAACAATATTTTGGCTGGGCAAAGAAAGCCCAAAACCTATTGATAACAGACATAAATCTACAGCAAAGCTCCATGGCCTTAATGGAAAATCAGAACTGTCCTGCGTGCCAGAGGTTCATTTCTTCCCTTCAAATGCCCAGGTGCAGAATTAGAATGGTTACTTGAAACTTTGGAAGAGAAGAACTAATTTACTGAAAAAATTCTATGATGGGCTAAGACAAGCACTGCAGGAGAGGCACCATTTCCAGGGTGGAGTTTGCCTCAATGCACTGTCACCTGGTTATCCCTGTCCCCTCCAGCCTACCTTGTCCATTCTCAGGTTGCTGTTTGTCTTCTTCAGCTTGACATTCAGGAGGTCTTTGAGCGTGATCTGCATCGGCCCGTCCTTCTTCACTGGTGGTGCCTGAAAACAAAGGGGTTTGGAAGGGGAATCAGGATTGCCAGGTGACTGACTGTTCACAAACACACACATTCCCAATGGATCCAGGCCCACAGAACCCAGGCACCAAGGAAAAAACAGAGGAGCCTTCTGAGTCCTTACCAGAAGTGCTTTGGAGCCAGTGCCCCGTTTGAGGAGGAGAGGTGCTGGAGGCAGTTTTGGTGGGGGCAGTGGTGGTGGTGGAGGAGGAGGGGGAGGAGGAGGAGGAGGAGGAGGAGGTGGAGGAGGAGGAGCAGGCACCGATGCCAGCAGGTCCATCCGTGTCTGTACAGGAGCACCCAGGACTGGTTTGTGACACCTTTGGCAAAGAGGATTTTCTGGAGACAAAGCTGCAGTTCCGTTCACCTGAAAAACGACATAAATAAACAAGAGGACATTAAATCCACTGGCAAAAGGAGATGGAATTTTAGAGGACAAAGGTTCTGGCTGAAGTTGATCTGTACAGGCACAAGAGCCTTTCAGGAGGCTCATCAGCACACCAGTTCCCTCTGGCTGTGAGGAAACTGCAGTTCAGCAACACTGAATGCAGGAATGCCCTGTGAGAACCCTTCAGATTTCAGATCTTCTGCACTGAGCACAGTTCCTTACACACCCACACAGACAAACGTTACCCTGCCCCACCGGGACTGCCACTGACCTGGAGTGTTTCTTGGAGCTTGGAAAATTCACTTTCCAACTTTTCCAGCTGCTCTCTCAAAGCATTAAGTTCCCTTAAGTAGATTTGTGACGGAAATATGGTGTCTTTAACCACCTTAAAACTCTGAGCATAAAAAGAAAGCACATTAGTGTTTTCACCAGCAGGTTCTGTTTCCAGAGACATGCCTGTGATTACTATGGAGAGTTCTATGGCAAGGTCTTATTGCAGTCCATGGAGAAGCACAACAGGAAGATACAAAATTTCATCAAATAGTTCCCTGGCAGGAACCCAAGGAGTGACTTTCTAAAAGAACTTTAACTTCATCTAGGAATTCTAAAGTAAAATTCACATTTGACCTGAAAAGCTCAAACAATCATTTCTATGCTATGAAAGAAAAACCACAGCCTTTGTCACTTTAAATCCTGCTGATATTCCAATAAAAAACCTACAGTTGCACATATGCAGTGGGCACATGGTGGGATTCTTGGGACTGTCCAAGGAGTTGCACTTGGATGATCCTTGTGAGTCCCTTCCAACACAGGATATTCTAGGATTCTATGATTTAATGTCTTGGCACATCTCATTATTCATTCCTTCAACAGTAAACACTCAACATACTTTATATGTTTCAATACACTGTTTCAATGTTTCAATAAATACACTTTAGATAACTAAATGTACAGCTCAGCTCTCAAATCTCCCCGTGTATCCTGTGTCTGAGCACAAAGAACCACCTCACACATGGCTAAAAATGGAGAAACACAAACTGTACCTGTGCAATTTTGTCCTGGCCCCACCAATACAGAAATGATGCTGCTGATTCCAAGGGTTTTATCACATTTTTTGCTGCTGATTCCAAGGGTTTTGTCACTTTTTTTGCTGCTAATTCCAAGGGTTTTACCACATTTTTTGCTGCTGATTCCAAGGGTTTTACCACATCTTTTATGCTGGGCAAGGCTGATGGCCAGAGGGAGCACCCTGGGACAGGTGTTGGGTTCGGAGGGAGATCAACTGGTGACCTGCAACAGAACATTTCAGAGTGAGGCCAGAATTATATTTATCATTTCAGCCTCTAATAAAGTTAACTGTGACCAATCATCTGGAAATTACAAGCAGGAATGGCAGGTAACAAGAGAGTAAATGTGACCAGAGAAACCAGGAGAGGCCAAGATACATTTCAATAAAAGGGGAGGGTGGGCAATAATATTTGAAATCTCTTTTTATTCAAATTGCCTTTCCCAGTTATTAAAGTTAGTCATGGAATCACTGAGGTTGGAAAAGACCTCCAAGATCATCATGTCCAACCTTCAACTGAGTAACACCAAACCACATCATGAAGTGCCATGTCTGCTTGTCAGTTGAACACTTCCAGGGATGGTGACTCCACCACTTCCATGGGAAACCTGTTCTGGTGCCAAACCAGTGAAGAAGCTTTTCCTAATATCCAACCTGAAACTCCCCTGGCACAACCTGAGACTGTTTCCCCTTGTAAGTGCTCAGGATGATCCACGAGATGAAGTTATTCCACAGCACCCCTGCCAGGATGGAGACAGGCTCCAAACACAATTCTATTCCCTCAGTTCCATGAGGAACTGGGAGCAAAACAACAAAACCCAGGAATTGGGTGAAAAGCCAAAGGTCAAGCTGAGCCTCTTACCCTGGGGAAGGACAAACTGAGCCCTGGGGCTTTGCAGCATCTCTCTTTTGTTTCAGGTGAAATCTTCCTCGGGCTCTCCTTTTTTGCCTGCATCTCTTACGCTTTGCCATTGCTGTTAAAAAAGACACATTTAAAATGAATGTCCAGAGACCAAATTACACACTGGGGCAGAGCTGCCACCCAAGAGAATAACGTGGGCAGCACCCCAGACATCCAGGCAGAGGTTATTCACAGCTGCCTTGCTGCAAGCATCACATAATGCTGATAAAAAAATATATCCTTAAGTTCTCATGAGCCACAGGGATGTCTTTATACCCGAGTAGTGAACAAAAAAAGCACCATTTTATAATGGGCTTCTTTCCCCCCTATTTATGTAGAGAAGTAAATATTATAAAGAAATATAATTATTATAAATAATTAGAAAAAATATATTTATAGCTATAGTAAATAGAAATATATAGCTATGTTAAATAGTGACATATAGCTATAATAAATTATAAATATAGCTATAACAAATACATAGCTATAATAAATATAAACATTAAAATTATCGATATATTAATTATACCCAGTTTTTCTTTATCCTGAAGCGACAAACTCTGAATTTCGGCAAAACGACGCTTGTGGAGAACGGAGGCAGAAGACACGAAGACGAGGCCCCGGGACGGGCCCGTTTGGTCCCTCACCGGTGACCCCGCACCGGGGCGCGGGGGCTCCTCACACACACAGACCTGTGGGGGTGTCCCCGGTGCCGGGGGGTGTCTCAGCAGCCCGGGGGTGTCCCTTGTGCCCCCCAGGATCCGGGGGGTGTTCCTAGAATCGGGAGGTGTCCCGATGCCGCCCCGTGTCCCCCCCCCGGCCGCTGCCGCCGCCGCCGATTCAAACCGATCCCGACGGCGCGCTCAGCCAATGGCAGCGTCGCTCTCAGCCGCGGCCCCCACGCGGCGCGTGTAAGCCGAGCGCTGATTGGCCGCCGCGCTGAGGGCCCCCCCCCCCCCGCCCCATCCCGCGCGCTTCACCGGAGCGGGGCCGGCGCTGCCCCCGCCCCGTCCCGGGCACCGCCATTGGGTGAACGGATCTGGCGCCGACAATCAGCTGCGGGCAGCGCTCGGCCGGGGGAGGCCGGTGGGGTGAACGAGACGTAACAGCGGCCCCGCTGGGGGCACCGAAGGGACCGGGGATGAAGCTGGGGGGGGTGACCAGGGCCCGCCCAGCCAGCGGCGCGCGCCCCGCCCCGGCCAATCATCGCCCGGAGCCCACTCCGGGCCAATCAGCGCCGCCGTACCTCGGAGCGGGTTTACATTCCCGCCGGGCCAATGGCGAGCGCGCTCGGCGCGCCGCGGGCCAATGGGGGGCGCGCGGCGAGTGACAGCTGGCCAATGGGCGGCGGCGGCTCTCCCGTGCGCCGCGCGGGGGGTGGGGATCTCCCCGCCGCCGCCTGAGGAATGTCAACTATTCAACATGGAGACGGCGGTCGCCAGGCTCGAGGCCATGGTGAGGGCGGGCGGCGGCCGCGCTCGGGGCCGCCCGCGCCGCAGGGCCGCCCGCCGGCGGCGCCTCGCGGGGCGCGGGGCCTCCGCGGACAGGAGGAAGGGAGGGGAAGGCGGGGAGAGCACGGGCGCGGCGCGACGAGGAAGAGCGGCCGCTCAGCCGCGCCCGCCGCTCCGCATCCGGGCCCTGAGCGCGGCCCGCGCCGCCCTCGGCTGGGCGCCCGGCGGGCGCGTCCGGGTCAGGCGGGTTCGGCCGGGCCGGTCCATTGCGCGGCCCCCCCCGCGGGGCGGAGCCTGCGCCGCGCTCGGCGCGGGGCAGGGCGCGGCCATTCCCGCGCACCTGGGGGGGGGCGGGCGCGCCCACTGCGCGGGGGACGCGGCCGGGCCGCACCACGTGCGGGAATGGGAGGGGGGGAACGCGGGGCATAGCGGGGCGTGGGGGGGGCGAGTCCATTTCGTCCCGGCGGGGGGAGAGGGTGGAGCGCTCACCTGGGCTGGACCATTTTGAGTATGGGGGGAGGAAGTGGGTGGGCTGGGTCCCCTTCTTTCCCAGCTCCGGCTCCAGGAGTTTTCCCAGCCTTGGACTCCGAACTCTCCCTTATGGAATGGTCGCCTCCCTGTCTGCCCCGCTTCTGGAAAAGTGGGAAAAAAGCGCAAAAAATAACCTCCCAGAAAAAAGCTGTGCTCTGCTTCCCTGACGGAGAGGCGCTGGAAAGCTGTCCCCGACCAGCCGAGTTCCCTGTGGCATCCCTAAAACCTCGACCTTGCTTCTATCTGATCTTTTTTTACATTAAAGATTCTCCCTCTGTCTCCCCATATCTTTTCTCTTAGAATTCTTTTTTTTTTTTCTTTTTAAGCCTAGTTTAGAAGTAATAATTCAGAAATACGTTTAGAGGCGCTTGGGTCGTACGCTTTATTTATTTATTATTTATTGATTATTATTTAGTTAATATGGTTTAAATATGTGTTTTATTGAAAGTCTTACTTTCAAGTGACTCTTGACACGTAAATAGTCACAGAGGTGTCTTTTGGCTCCCTGAAAGTTAAGAGGGTGTTTTACACCTGGTGGTGGAATTCGGAACAGTTTCACAAATCCCAGCTTTGTGTCTCTTTTGCTTTTCCTTCTGCTAATTGTTTCTTCTTCCTGGATTTCCCCTGAGCTCAGCTCTCTCCACAGAGTTGTGATAAAACACTTATTTCCCCCGAGGTTTTGACACGAATTTCATGGGAAGCTTCATTTTAAGTCTCGTGGAACCAGGGATAAACTAATTAGGGGGGGTTCCAACAGAACAGTGTGTATGAAAATCCCAGGTAATCGATGGTTCAGTGACACCATCACATCTACAGCATGAGATTAATTACAGAAATCATAAAGCTCTCAATTTAAATAAGTCAAGGCCAGGTTGGACAGGTTCTGTCACTGGATTTTTGGTACTGTGGACCTACTTTTTTTCCTGGAGTGGTGTCTGTCCAGTGCCCTTTTTATGTTGTACTACTAGTGATCATGCACAAAAAGCAGTGCAATGTTAAAAGGGCATTGGCCAGCAATGCTGTCTACGTTATGGTCTCATTTTTGCTACAGTCACACGTCCAAAGTCACTGCCTGAGACCAGGAGGTGATTTGCAAAACAGCTGTAAAATAGTTGTGAGTTTTCTGAGTGCCCTGCAAGGAGCAAAGAACACTGTCCAGCATTCCTAGTTCTTCTCCGCTCCATTCCCAGGTTTCTTTGCATTTTGTTGTTGAGGATCTCAGCACCTCCAAACCCTGAGAGTTCTCAAACTTTCAATATGAAGTTAAAAAAAAAAAAGCACTTTCATTTAGATTTATGAAATACACCCCCACAGTGATGGTGCTCTCGCACCCAGGTGGCAACCCCAGGGATAATGTACATCCACAGAGTTGAGAAATAAGTGTTTAAGTACATTTTAAAGTGATTCAGCCCTGCAGATTATAAAGAATAAACTGATATCTAGAAAATATACCCTGTAATGCAGTTTTAAGAACATCTGTCTGACAGCAGTTCCGAACCTTCGCTTGCTACGAGACAAACCTAAGAAATAAATGCATTTGGAACTGTAGTTTCCAGGTAAAAAAAAGCACCAGAATTGTTTGAAATCGAATTTTCTGCTGAGCATTTTGTTGGGTGGTTTGGGATTTTTCCCCCTCTTTTGGTCAGTGGAACGACAGAATAATAACAATGTCTTCAAATATGTGAGCTCTTTGTGTGTGTGTGTGTGTGTTAGGACTTGGTGAACTTGAATATTACCCAGTTCTTCGTGATCCACAGCAACCACTGTGTGAGCTGATGGGTTTTATTGCCTTTTTTGAGTGTGGTGGTGATCCCTGCCCTGAGCTGTTGCTGCTAACGAGTGCTCTGACTTTATTGCACTACTGTTCTGTACAGCGAGCAGTGCAATAGTATTGTCAAAGCATCTGAGAGCAGAGCACCTTCAGCCTCCCTCCCCGTGAGTAAATTACAGATTTACACTTCAAAACCTGCATTTTCCTTGGGACTGTTGTCAAATAAACTGCTTCTGACCCAGGTGGGATTTCTGCAGGTGTGTGTTTCTGGAAATAACAGCGAGAAATAAGTATTTATGAAATAAAAAGCGGTGATGTTGAACTGGGTTAAGCTTTTCATTGAGCACAGATCTTAAAATTCCAGCCAGGTGATGGATAAGCTTTGAGCTTCACACCCAGTTTTTTCATGTCCTGGATCACGGTAGTAGCGTGGTGTTAGTGGGTTCCTGTCCTTGTGGAAGTCTCAAATTATCAATTTGAATGTTTCATGGGTAATTCTGAAAGCCACCTGTACCCATTGTCTGCTTTCCCAAAATTAATCAAGTGAAGGAGTTGGAGAAAAGAAAAAAAAAATATTTTTTGGGGCACCTGCCTGTGGAAATGAAAACCTAAAACTGTTTGCTTAGTGGAGGAGAAGAGAAATTATTGGGCAGTTAAGGAAAAAATCCCTCCTGAACTCTTTAAACATGTGTAGTGCAATGAAATGTATTTTATTCCTGGATTTCATCATGGCTGGTTTCTGGGGCAGGTGTGGGAAGAAGTTTTGGTGGGCAGATGGTGAGTTATGGCTGTACTGGCTGAAAGCTTTTCCCTTTGATTTATAGGTGCTCAAGCTCTTCACCAGATTTAGTTTCCTTTTCTTAAGCTATTATTTGAAAATTTACTGAGGGTGTGTGAAACATCACCCATCTCCACTCCCTCAGAAAGGGGGTTTTATTGCAGAGTATCCTGGATCAAACCCTATTCCTTGAGGCTGGCTGAAATTCCAGATCCTCAAAGGCATTCCTGGCCACTCCTTAAAGGAGTTGGGATGGTCACTGTGGGGTTAATCCCAACAGAAACAGTGAAAACCAAATTAAGGAAGTTACAACCATTTTTAACTTGCTTTCATCACTGTCTCTTCTGTGACTGTAAAAATCACCGAATTATTGTGTAAAAAAATTAATGAGTGGCCTGTGAACTGGGAAAACTGCCTTTCTTTGCAGTGGAAGTCTTTAATAGATATTGAAATCACAGGCTAAAATTAATCAAGTAGTAATGCTATCAGCAGACTGGTTTACAAGGCAATTAGATAATTCTCTGGTGGCTTATTTATCCCAAGGAGAGAAAAGTGATGTCATCAATTTTATTAGCTGCTAGTCAGTCTGCTTTATTGGGGAATAATAGAATATATTGTGGGCATTAAAACCAGCTGAAAGAACACATCCCTGATATAATGAATAACAGAACCTCTGGTGATACTTTTGGATCCTGAACACTTGTGGTTTTGCTAACAGAACTTTGAAAATGTTAAGTTTGAAAACTGTTTTCTGCTTTCCTGAAACACATGAAGGGCAAATGGTTGGGGCTTGTCTGCAGGTTTTGGTTTCTAATACACTGTGCCTGACCTTAAATATTTTAGTTCCAGAAGGCAGAAGCTGATCTGGACTGGATTCAACACAGACTGGAGTATGAAATAATGAAAAGTTTTCCTGATGATACACCACTAGAGGTAGTGTTAATAATTAACAATTTTTTTGATTAAATGCATAGATTTTACTGCATTTTCTATGAAGATGGTAACAAATGGGACTGTTCTTTTATCTGGTTGTTAGGTTTTTATTATTGTTATTATGATAAAGTATTTCCTGCATCATTTATCAAGATAACTGGCCTAGAATGAATTCAAACAAAACCCCCTTGGTTTCTTGGTACAGGGAAATTCTCCCGTGTTCTGCTCTGAGAAATTAGTAGTGGTAACACCTAAATTCAAGAGACAGAGCAAAGGTGTGTTTTAGCTCTCAGATCCAACTTAAACCTGCTCAGAAGCAATGACTAAATTAATATTTGGGGGAGAGATGAGAGGAAGAGGACAACAATAAGTGACATCACGTAAAGGATTCTATAAATAAGTCCTTGTCTCCGAGTATATTGTAACATACAGCAGAAAAATCATCTTTTTTGTTAGAAATCCCCAATTTATTCTATGCCAGAAAAGCTGCTAAAGGTCTCCAACACCATAAATTCCTCCTCCTGTGTTTGATGTGGAACCACAGAGTTATGCTGGTTTACTAACACCATCTATGAAAAATGAAATGTAGAGCAGAAACACTCTCACAGCTACACTTTGCACTGTAAAGGCTCATTTCGTGTCCTGTTTTGGTGCCTCCAACGCCTGCACTTTTGATTGGTATTTACCCAGATTATATTTTCTTTGCTGGTGTGGTGTAAATGTACTTTTACCTTCTCCACAGGACAATCCATTTGCTATCCTGGAAGGACTCTCAGCGGCCAAAGCTCGTTACAAAGCGCTGTGCACACGGATGGACAGGATTGCCAGGGAGCAGAAAGAGGCCATGAAGGGCATCCAAGCTTCTGTGGAGAACACAACGAAGATAGTTCAGGAATTACAGCAAAAAGCTGGTCTTGAGGTAGGTCTTTTCCTTTTAATCCCTTTGTTTTCACTCCTGGAAATGAACTGGGACTTTGTAGCCTTTACTTACTGTGAGTGGTTGGGAGCTGTTGCACAGAGTGCAGGCTCTCGGAAGGAGACGAGAAGATGGTTTCCCAGGAGAAATTCCTGCAGGATTGGAGCTCTTTCTGTAAATCCCAGTCCTCAGCAGTGTTCAGACTGGGAGCTGAAGGAATACCTGAGTAGTGTCAGTAATTTCATAGGGGTTTCAGAGAAATCAATGCCTTTGGGCACAGCTGTGTCCCAGGGCCACGCTGGCACCTTTTAGGAATGGAAAATGGAAGGTGAAAGTGATTTTAAGAGGCAAAAAAGCTTTTAAGTGGAAAATGTTCTTTTCACTGTCTGAAGTGAGTAAGTTAAAACCAACACACTGGATCATACACACTGGGATTGTAAGTTTTTCCTCAGTATGCTAACACCCCTCTAGCTATTAAAGAAACCAAGAACACATTTTCCTAAGTGGTCTTCAGACACTGCTTTGTAACATTTTGAGGAGGTTGTGAAAGCATTAATTTTGTCCCTTTACAAATAAGGTGCTTTAGATCAATGTTCTAACAACACTGCCCTGAGATTGTGTTTTATCTGTCAACAGCTCTAGATAAGGGACTGGTAAATCTTTACAGACAAAAGGTACTGTATCCTGACTTAAAAGACAGTACTTATATGTCACAGAAAGGAAAATATATCATATCTCCCCGTGTTCCAAGGATAGGCTGCCAAGAATAATTCTGTATTTGGATTTTGTTAAAGTGGAAGACTCTCCTCTCTTGAGTTATATGTAGAATTTTAGATAAAGATTTTCTTCTACTTTGTTCATTTCCTAAACCAGAGATTAATTAAACTGCTCTGGTGAAATGCAAGTCTTTAAGTTCAAGTGCTTCTTTTTATTGAAGAATTTATCTTACTTGAATAATTTATAGTTTTGATGCTAAAGGAAGATTATGGTTGATTTTTTCAGGAATACTTTGCCTGTGAACTTGCTTTCAGTTGAAGGAAAGTAGGAGTCTACTACCAGTTTCCATGAGAAAAGGGCTCCATAAACATTGAGTTCTTCTGTAAATATCATCACCTCAGGAACCAAGGGATCAGAGTTCTCTGTGTTTGCTTTTTATTTTTTGCCTAGAGCTTGCCCCTGTCAGCAGAAGAACAGGCTGCAGCACAGCAGTTGGGCATCCAAACTGGGACAGAAATGGAATCATCAGTGGGAAGGGTAATTAGGGCACGGAGTGTCAGCATCCCAGAAACCAGGGATCCTGAGTGTGGCTCAGAAGGGCTGGTTTTGTGACTTAATACCTCTCAAATGAGTGGCATTTTTCAGAAATGGGATGAAGCTTCTAACAAACCCTTTCATTTTTATTGTACACAGGTTAAGTTTTTTAATTGTTCCGGTTTAATTGTCCACAAATGAAAAATTAGCTTTGATGGAAGACTTTGTTCCCCTTATTTATTCATTGGGATGTGTTTATGTTTATTTTCAGGGATGCAGTTGGTTGCTCTTGTTGATCCTCTTGTTCTATTAATGCATGAGATAAAAAACCTTTGGGTGGGAGTAAGGAATGTAATTGATCCAAACCAATGCATCTCAACGTGGAGAGAAATTTAATTTCCTGTAAAAAATAAATTGTGGGATATGAGTAACAGTATGTTCTAACTGCAGTGCAGTAGAACATAGATATAAACTAAGATTTGTTGAAAAGTAGCTCAAAGCACAAAATTCCAATATAATTATCTGCAAATATTTGGTTTGGGTGTCATATTAAAAACACAATAATAAAGAGGGTCAATAGAGTGTAGTTATCTGATTGATCTTGTCTTTTTGCTGTGCCTTCTCACTGCCCACTGTCACAGGACACCCCACTTTCTGTCCCTTTATTGCCAAGGTTGGTTTGCATGAAAGCTGTCCAGGATCCTGCAGCTTCACTCAACGTATTTGTGTGCAAATATCTGCTCCTGCCTTGAGAAATGCTCTCAATTCCTGCCTTCCCATCCTGAATTCTAAAGCCCTTCCCACCCAGCTGCCACAATCCCACTGGAGCTGCATCCTGTGGCTACCGAGGCTCAGTGGGGATTAGCCCGTGTTGTCTTTGTGTTCTCAAGACGTTCCCTGAAAGGCAGAAAAAGTGGGAAGATGTTGCAAAGACCCTGGGAATTTTGTATCAGTGCTGTATTTCTGGCTGAGGAGAGTTTGATAGAGCTGCTTTCAGCTTGTCACAGCTGTCAGCCTCCCAGGGCTGCCTGGGAAGAGGGAAACCATCTCTCCCTTTGCTGCATGTGAAGTGCTTTCAGAGCCACACTGGAATGCAAAGGAGGAAGCTGGAGAGGCTCATCTGACTTGCATATCAATCCTGCTGGATCCATTTTAAACTGAATTTTACTTGAAACTGTGTTTGATCCATTGTGCCAGTTGACAGCTGCAAGATCCTTGGTTATCCAGTTGGTAAAATGTAAGCACTTGTGCAGGAATGAAAGTGTAAAAAAAGAATTTCTAACAAATCCTGACACTTCTACTGTGTTTATTCCTAGCCAGGTTGTGCAGGATCTACAGTCCCTGGCTCAGCTGAAGGTAAGTGCTGAAAAAATAAACTTCCCACTGTTTTCTTCTCGTGAAGCCTGTAAATAAAGACAGTAAATTCACTGTTTTCACTCTCAAGCACCAGTAACTCCTGCTTTCATGTGAAGAATTCAGATTTTAGTGTAAGAACCTGACCTCTTAGCTACATTCTGTGTATAGTTCTGGGAGTTCTTCTTGCTGTTGATGGGACTGAAGTGCATCCTGCTTTGTTTATGGTATGGAAGAAATGGTCTCACCATAGAAACAGCTCTTTTGAATCAATTTATCCCTACTTATGGGAAGGAATTCTCCTGTTTTGCTTTGGTTTGGTTTTTGAAACACAGCTAAGTAGTCACTGACAGACCAGATTTGTCAATCCAGAGCTCAAATTAAATGATTTTTCACTGGGCCTGCAGATACAGTGATAGTTTGGAGGGAGTATCTTCCTTCCCTCCTTCTTCTTGCTGGAAAATCTTCCTTTAGACCCATTTAGAGGGATTATTAAACGGTAATGGAAGCACTTTCTATCTTTGGCCTGGCTTCTGGAGAAACAAATATTTTCTGTTTCCAGTTTTTCACCAAGTATCTTCCATTTCCAATTTTTTAGCATCCCAATTCCTACCATTGACTGAGGAAATGCTTCTGACTGTACCCAGGCACATCAGAAGATCTGTCACATTAGCAGGCTTGAACTCTTTGTACAGGGGGTTATTTAAACACTTTGTAGTGAATAAGAACAAGTAAGACTTAAACCCATTCATTAGCAAGAATTTTATAAGCTCTAAAGAAATTCAGCCTGTTTGAAATTAAACAAACTCAAATAGTTAACCATTCACTGCCATATTATAACTTTATAATGTGATTTTACTCCCCTACACCCTTCCTGCTTAGGTACACACCCCAATGTGTTAGACCATTATACAAAACCCCCCAAATTAATTTGTGTAAAAATGCTTTGATCGTTTTCAAAGCTGCATTTTAGGTTCTTCAGACTTTTCCACTTTGTTTTTGCTGTACAGATGTCCAGGTCTGGGTCTGTTCAGGGAAGTTTTGCTGACACACTTGTGCTGCCAGGCCCTTTTAGTGTTCAGAATCTGCAGCCAGACTGGAAAAGCAAAGCCCTGACACTAAACCATGACCCCCAAGCCCTGCCCTGCCCTCACCAGCCCCTCCTGCCTCTCCAAGCCCTGACCCCTCCCTGGAATGTGCTGTGGATTTCTTGCAGGCTGAGGTTACAAACAAACAAGTTTTTAACTCAGGAATTCTGTCTCTTTAACCCTAAGGCTGGATTAGCAAATGACTGCTCTGATTTGAAGTAGCACAGGAAAGCTGATGGTATAATGAGGGTGAGATTTACAGAGCACGCACAAAAATCATTCATTATGTGCTTTTTAGCCTTTTTCTGCCTTTTTGATCCCTGTTTTGGTAAATAGTTTGGTTTTGTCTTACAGGGCAGCACTGAGTATTTCACAGGTGGATGAGATGAGTACGAAACCCTCTCACTCAAGAATTCAAGTCCTGGAAGAACTTGGTGTTGTGAAAAGCGACAAAAAAGGGGATATTGAATTAGTTGTGTAAGTGAAAGCTCGGCCCGTTCTCGTCTGAGACACAAAAGCACCTTGGTCACAGCTCCTGGATTATGAAGGAACAAGTATTTCCCTGGGATCTAAGAGCTGCTGAAAGTCCACTGTTGGAGAGTTGTAATGTTTCTGTGCACAAATTCTGTTTCTGGTACTTAAAACTGGAGAGTTAAAAACCACTGAGGTTGGCATTTTGCCTTGGATATTTATAGGCCTGTGGCTGATGCATTTTTGAAGAGTGTTACGAGCCACACAACATTTTCTTGCTCTCGTTCTTCAGTGGGTTTTTAACAAGTAACCCAAGCCTCTTAAGTGTACTTACATTCCTGAATAAATGATGAAAGCTAAGGAGATGCCATGGATTTATTACACTTTTGTGTACGTGACTCCAGACCCTGTGCCTTGCCCTGACCCCTGAACCCGGGCCCTGACCCGCTTAATTTTCCTTTGCCATGAACTCCCTTGGGTTTTTTAGAGTCCAGGGAAAGCGGAGGCTCACAGAGTGGCCGAGATTGGAAGGGACCTCTGGAGACTGTCCAGTCCAACCCCCTGTCAGAGCAGGAGCAGCTGCAGCAGCTCCCTCAGGGCGGTGTCCTGAAAAATTCCAAGGATGGAGAATTCACAACCTCTGTTAACGCTGTTTGACCACCCTCACAGTGAAAAACATAAGCAGGATTTTTTTTTCCCTGCATGTTTAATATTTCTATATTTATTTCAACCTAATTAAGGGGATAAGATATCCCAAGTTTTACCAAGTTCCGGTGGGGTTTTTGGGAAAAATTATGTCTGTCAAAGGAGAGGAATTTAAATTAGTGCTCCTGGGGAGGGGAAGGCTGATTTCTGAACTCACTGATGAGCTGGTTTAGGGTTTGATGGGAAGAGGAATAGCCTGGATATTGAAGAAAAAAGGGAAGGAAAGAAGAGGGATAAGTTGCTTTTTTGATGTCTGCTGCCCTTTTACCTACACGTGATTAACCAGTTTGACAAACTGATTTGATAGTTAGGCATTTAATCATATTCATCAGTTTTCTATAGAGGGCTCGATCCCGTCACTTTCGCCAGCAGTGTTAAATATTTAATTTATTAAATATTATTGGCTACAATAATTGGAGATACCCGTCAGCGGGCAAACAGCTACAGCACGGGCGACAGCGGCTCCGCTTTCTAGAGCCGTGCGGGCTGTGGGAACCCATCCCTGCTCGTGAGCTGAGTAAAGCCGAAAAAAAACACGCGTCAAACTCTTACTTTGGACACCGAAGAGCCGCCGGTTCCCTCAGGGGCGGCCGCGCCTCCCGCTCTCCCCTCAGCGCGGCCCCGCCCCCCCGCGGGCGGCCCCGCGCATGCGCACTGCGGGCGCGGGGCGGAGCGGCCGCGCTGCCGCGGTCACGGCCGGGCCGGGGCGCGGGGCTGGGGTCGGGGCGCTGCCTCCGCCCGCCCGCTCCTCAGACCCCGCGGAGCCTCCGCTCCTTACCCCGGGCACGGAGAGAGAGGGCCGGGGACAGCCGTCCCCGCGCCCGCCGCCGGCGGGGCCGCAGCCATGGACGAGCAGAGCGTGGAGGTGAGCGGCGAGCGGGCGGCGCGCGCGTCCCCTCAGGGGTCCCCTCAGGGATCCCCTCAGGGACTGCCCTCAGGGACTGCCCTCAGGGACTGCCCTCAGGGACTGCCCTCAGGGGCTCCTCCCGCCCTGCCCGCTTCACCCCTCGGCGGGGGCTCTGTCGCGGTGCGAGGGGGGGGATAAAAAAGGCCGCTCGGCAGCGGCTCGGGTGCGCAGGGAGGCAGCAGGTGGGGATGTGGGAGGAAATGAGCTGCGGGAGCAGCGCGGGTGCCAGTTCCGGAGGTGGATGGAGGGACGGATGGAAGGATGGAGACCTGGCGCACACACAGCCCGCCTTGGCACCGGGCAGGGCTCTCTGTAACCCGGCAGCTCGCACACCTGCTGTGGGCTGAGAGCAGCCAGACCGGGAGAGGGTTTGAAAGACCATCTGTGACAACCTGCTGTGTGTTGCATTCCAATGGTTTGCCCCTGTTAAAGCAGGCAATGTATACGACCTATTGTGATATCTGTAAATTGAATGTGCATCTTGCTTTTGTGCTGATTCGTAATTTCAATATTGTGGGGAAAAATTTAACCCTCCTGAAGAACCTTTGAAAGTTCTATAGTTAAAACCATGACTCCTGTGTAATGCAGAATGTAGAATTTCTTTATCAGTTAAAAATCTGTCAATATGTAAAGCAAACATTGCTCTCAGAATACCTGTCTCGTTTGGGGAATGGAGAGAGTTGAGGTGGTTGTACTGTAGAACAGAAAGGTTCTCTCTTCAAATGGGTGTAGCAAAAAGAGATTGGGTTACATTTTTATCACCCAAGATTGGTTAAATAGGGTGGGAGAGAGCTAATGGTAGACCATAAAAGAATGTAAATCTTATAAAAGTAAAAAAAAATGTGCCATTCAATTCAGTCCCTCTCATTAGCATTCTGTGTGTCACATACATGCACTTACCATGGTTTTGAATTAGTTTGGTGCCTGTCCAGTGACACCGGTGGGTGCAGTGCCTGCAGGTGCAGCACAGCTTCTTCTGGCAACTGTTCAATCCCTGGTGAGCTCAAGCAGGAATGATATCCTGGCCCCAGGAAGGCCTGCTCCAAAAAAAAAAGATGAGGCAAACACAGAAACTATTCCTTGAAGAAGGAGGGTATGAAATGGTGCAGAGGAGGAGAGCCCTGGTGTCGAGGTGGTGCCTCGCTCGGGGATGTGCTGTTTGGGGTGGAACTGAAGCAAAGCCTGCCGCTCTGCCTGGAAAACAAAGGCAACTCTGATGTGTTTGAAAGCCTGTGGTTTAACAATGGTGATAATCCCCCCTTTGCAGAGCATTGCCGAGGTGTTCCGATGTTTTATTTGTATGGAGAAGCTGCGGGATGCTCGCCTGTGCCCCCACTGCTCCAAGCTGTGCTGCTTCAGCTGCATCCGGGTGAGTTCGCTTCTCACAGCTTATTTTTGCAAATGTATGAGCTGAAAACCGGCTGATCTTGTGAGAACGTTCTTGTTCCTTTTCCTGGAGTTCCAAGGATTCCTTTTTCCTCCTCTGTGCTCCTCAGTTTCCCTTTCAAACACTTTTATAACACCCTGAAGAAAAACTAGGCGGGCTGTGCATTGCCTTCCGTGGTGCTAATTATAGGGACCATCTGGAATAAGTGCTGTTAAGGAAGAGACACACAATGATTCCTTCTTTAGCATCTCCTGAGAGTCTGTGGTGCCTGTGTGGAAGGCAAAAGTTGGGACAGGAGTCAGGTGCTGACTTTGCATCTGGGAAGGTCATAACATCACCTCTTGTATCCTGGAGATGATTTATAACGTTCATCAGACCAGCGTGATGTGATCAGAAGGGGCTAAATCTTTCTCAGAGGAGTCTGGGGCACCACCAGAATCTCAGTTCATTTAAGGTGATGGTTACCAATGTATAACACCTCAGTTCCAAACCAGCTGCAGTTACGTGTTGGTGTAGCAGGAGAAGGTTCAGCTGAGGTTTCCAGCCCTCCAAGTAGTATTTCCAGAAACTGGAACAGACATTCATCCTTTGCTTTGAAAGCTCTGACAAGAACTGTAGGTGAAGGATTCGTGCTGCATATTAAGAGTGTTGGATGACATATTGTTGCTGGGTGGTGAGAGATTATTCATGAGAATCTTTAAATGTAGTAGTGAGCTGACAAATATAAGCCCATCAACTGCTGAGCTCTTACACTTGTGAGTTGTAGTGGGCAGGTGAAGTTCTTTGCTCAGCTGTTTGTCTCTGGAGCTTTCTGGAAGAGAAACATTCACAGGTCCTTGTGGATTTGATCGTTGAACTGCAGGTATTTAATTGGCCTATAAATAGGAAGGAATAAGTTACCTTGAAGACTAATTAGACTGAAAAATAGGCTTCTTGTACCTTTTGGTTTCCTCTATTGAAACATGCTCTTTAGTCTGAGGCTCCAGGAATCTGCCAAGTGGGTGGTTTCTCATGCAGTATTTGGTACCTCAGAATTCTCCATGTAATTTTGACTGAAGCACCTTTGACATCTAAGAAAAGTGCTTGCTTGTTACTAAGGTACAAATAGCAGCTTCTTCTGTGACTAAGTGGTTAAACAGTTAAATCTGCTAATAAAAAGGAAAAAATAGAGGAAGACCATAATAAAAATAAGTAACTCCTAATTAATGATAGAATGCACTTGCCTGCAATTCTTTTCTTACAGTCCCTTTAAAAAGGTTTTTCCTCTTTCCATCACAGCGTTGGCTGACTGAACAAAGAGCTCAGTGCCCTCATTGCAGGTAAGGTATTTTTAATATCAGAAACAAATTATCAGGAATTGGCTGTACTATCCTGTTAGGACTGATTTTATTTTTTATTTTTTTTTTCAGTGCAGGTTGCATTACATTTATAAGCTTGATTACTTTTTTTTTTTTTTTTTTGGAGACCTGGCTGCTGGTACTATAAAAATTGGCCCAGGTATAACACTTACTGTAAAATACATTCTAGTTCTGTGACAGGCTAAGATCTTTGTTCTTCCCATGTAACACTGCTGTTTTCAGTGCATGTAGTTTGTGTGGTAAGAGTAACTAGATGGAATTCCTCTTAGAACTCTTTATATTTTTCTTATAAGAGTCAGAGACCAGAAGCTTCACTGTTCAGACTGTGTCCTTTTTTAGTACTGTAATTTGTATGATATCAGGCAGCTGCTCTGTGTGACCCTGTGGGGTGGTTCATTGTGGTTCCCACCTCTCCCCAGCCCCCAGACGGGCAAATCGACTTAAAAATTTCTTTTTTTTTTTTTCATGAAATAACTAATACAGCTTCTGCTTTTTTTTTTTTTTTTTTTTTTTTCTTTGCCTGTGACTCTTCTGGTAGTGTAGCACTTCAGAATTCCCTTCAGTGCTTTTCCTTTATCTCCTGGAGCCACACTGTTGCTCCTGCTCTGCTGTGCTTCTTGCAGGGCCCCGCTGCAGCTCCGGGAGCTCGTCAACTGTCGCTGGGCAGAGGAGGTCACCCAGCAGCTCGACACACTCCAGCTCTGCAACCTCAACAAGCATGAAGAGAACGAAAAGGACAAGTAAATGGAGCATTCTCTGCATAAAGTGTTCCGTGGTTTGCCTTACAGGAGTGGGATTTTAGTTATCAGGGAACAAGCTGATAACTTTCACTTGCTGAAAAGCTGAGTTGTGCTGTCATTTCACGCTTCGGTGTCTTTGCCTAGAAAGTTGCTATTTCTGGTTCTACTCAGCACATTTAAAATGAAAGATGTGGGAAACATGAAGGGCAGGAATACTTCTAAAGGCTCTCAACCCTTCTCAGTGACCAGATATCTGAAATAAGTCT